TGATTATACAACTAGCAATCCCTGCCAGCCTCTCTGGTGTAGATCCTACCATTTTTTGTTCACCTACTGCCAGAAACTACACTCCTAATAGCCAATTTGAGAATAATCTGAAGCAGCTATTTGAGTCATTGTCTTCAAACACTTCAATCTCTGGCGGTTTCTACAACACCACTATTGGAAATAACACTGACAGAGTCTATGGACAAGCACTTTGTAGAGGGGATGTGAACTCTACAGTTTGTCGAAATTGCGTCTATGAGGCGAGCCAGGAGCTTTTCAAGAGTTGTAATACGAATGATGCAATGATATGGTATGAAGTATGTCAAGTCCGCTATTCCTTCCAGATGTTCTTTTCATTGATGGTTTACATTGGAAATTATCCAAAGCAGGATAGTCAGGAGAAGAGAGTGTCAAATCCTGATAGCTTTAGTCATGTTTTGATTTATTTGATGAAAAACTTGTCCGATGAGGCTGCCTTTAATCCTTCTAAGCATATGTTTGCAACTGGGGAAGTAAAATTTTCAGGGAAAAAAAATATTTATGGTCTGCAACAGTGCACGAGAGACATCTCTGAAAGTAACTGCAAAACATGTTTGGTTTCTGCTTTAGGGGATCTTTGGGCTTGCTGCTCTTCTAGCCAAGGTGGTGCCATTGTGGGTAGGAATTGCAATGTGAGGTTTGAGATGTTCCGATTTTTTGACGACATGTCAAGCTCTCTGATAATTTACCCATATTTCGAAGGTTGGCACATCAAAATTTTGTTTCCTTTATTTATTTATTTATTTTGTTCATAATCATCTGTGTGTATATACTTCTAAGAGCCATGGTAAGCAACTCTTTCCATTAAAAAGCAGGAGATAAACGGAAGACGTTGAAGGTGGTGGTTATATGTGCATCAACTTTTCTATTAGCATTTCTCATTGTCTGTTGTAATGCCCATCGCCAGCGGAAAAAGGGATTAGAAGAATTAAAAGGTACATTAGATGGAAACATGGCTGATGCTAATGATTGTGAATTAATTTATGTAAGATTACCAACTGAAATTTATTGTGTGCAGATGAAGAAAACAGCCAGCATGTACTATTACATGATTTGGCAAGCCCGACCAGCGTCACGATCACAGAAGATAGACAATTGACAAGTTCTGAGGAGCTGGCCTTCATGGATCTAGCTGCTATTAGGGTAGCTACAGATGACTTTTCAGATTCAAACAAGCTTGGACAAGGTGGGTTTGGCACTGTTTACAAGGTAATGCACCATCTTGGGGCACAGTACTAATAGATTCCTCGGACCAAAGTCCCGAAACATGCATCTCATCTGATTTTAAAAAATATTATTTCACAGGGTTTGCTACAAAATGGGAAGGAAGTAGCTGTTAAAAGACTGTCAAGAAAATCATGGCAAGGCTTGGAGGAGTTTAAAAATGAGGTCATACTCATTGCAAAACTTCAACACAGAAACCTTGTGCGGCTCCTGGCATGCGGCTTTGAAGGAGAGGAAAAGCTGCTTTTGTATGAGTTCATGCCAAATAAAAGCCTTGATACTTTTATCTTCGGTATGTTTTGTCCACCATTCTGCCCAATGTTTCTTGCCCTTATATCAATCATTTCGCACAATCACATTTAAATATGCTTCTTTACCCTTAAATCTAAACGCTAACCTTTATTTACTGCTGAATTTCAGATTCGGAAAGACGAGCTGAACTCAATTGGAAAACATACTACAACATTATTGAAGGTATTGCCAGAGGACTTCTGTATCTTCATGAAGACTCCCGGCTTAGAGTCATTCATAGGGATTTAAAGCCCAGCAATGTATTGTTGGACCATGAAATGGTTGCCAAAATATCAGACTTTGGCTTGGCAAGGATATTTTGTGAACGTCAGAACCCCACTAAAACTAGAAGAGTTGTGGGAACATAGTGAGTATGCTTGTTTACATTTATTTAATTTAGAATCCTATATATCACTTCCGGCCACAAGTTTTGATTGTACGTGAGAAGTGAACATTGCTAATAATGCTGATACATGAAACAGTGGATACATGGCTCCAGAGTATGCAATGGAGGGTCTATTTTCTGTAAA